AATAGCAACGTTGATAGCCTGCGTAGAGGTTTTAATTATGTCGGTTCAGGCCGAAACAGAGAAAGGTTACTGCGGCCAGGTTCTCCCAAACACATAAGTGAGCGAATTGTGTTAGCTTAACCTTGTCAGAGTGTGTGTGTTATTGTTAACGAGCTATTACTTGAAAAGGAAAATGTTATCGGAAGGGTTGCTGAATCCGCAAACTAACTAAACTAGAGAAACAGGATTCGTAATAGTATTCAATAAGTAAGGTCGTTTTATATTTTTCTATAATAGCGTTTTACTCAAAGCAAAGGTTAATTCGCTTGGAAATGATTTTTTCTTTAGTAAGATACATAGTCTTCGACCGAATATCCTTTCTGAAGTGATACTCTATCGAAGTGTGTTACAGGCACATTCTTTCATTGACAATAAGAGGCTAACGTTATTATGCCGTCAATTACTAAATTATGTAATCAATCAATTAGTTCTTTTTTTTTTTTTTTTTTTTGTTAATTTTATTACAGTTATGTTGAACAACCAAACATTTTATTACTATAATATTGTACTATACCTATAATTAAGCTTCTTCGCAGACGATTCGCCCCTGGCCATGTATATATAAACGCTAATAACAGTAATCATAATAACAACCACTATATCGAGTTACCGTGATTGGTTATGCTACGTTAGCCAAACGTCACTAGGGAAACACCCAGGGCTTTAGCCACTGGTAGGTTAGGTCCTCGGTCTACGAAGTTTCAAGGTCGCAGCTTGTCGGCGGGCCGATGAAACATAGACGCCGATAGATAATGTACAGGCCTCTAATAGAACAGTAAATGGTGAAAAATGAAGGGAGAGACGCTGATGCTTTTTGTAAACTAAGCGAAAATAGTCTCAGCTTCATTTATAAGTATAGCCACCGTAGAGAATCGATAAAATCTTGGAGGTTCGTAGTTAACATTCTTTCCTTTCATTACCTTCAACTTATTGAACAAAAGCTAAAACCTAGGCATAAACACTTTTATATAGTTGGTCATTTGGATTCTTGTGATGGCATCTTTTTAATTTGGCTCGCGTGTGCAGGTGGCCAAAAATGTATTTACAACGCGTGCGTCGCCCACATTCGCAACTAAGAATAGCTTTGTTAGCTTCAAAAAGACACCCCATCGCTCACAGATGGTTAACATTTGACTCAGTTAAAAATCAAGATTCTATGTTTAGCAGCATTTGCTATTGAATAGCATGTCTATACAATATTTTTTAGGCTTATGTCGAGAGCAGGCATCGTTGTGCCGTCATAAACCGACGCAGCTAGTCAAGGTGCCGAAGAAAAAAGATGTGTTCAAGCTACATATTCCTAATACAAGGCCGGCAAAACCATGGCTATACTTCAGCAGACTCCTAACAGGTTAATGATAATCTTCCTAGTCAATTTTCGGATGGACATTTCCTTTACATCATTGCTTATCTTAGCTACAGTATGAGGAGTCCTTGATTGCTGTCGAACATATATTTTTATTATAAGAAAGTATTTTCAAGTTCCCTGCCAGCGTACCGTTTCAATGTTCTACTGAAATATTTAGTGCAGGACACTTATGAATCAACACAGGTTTTCGAAGCGCTTTGTAAGCAAAACAGATTGCAGAAAAGACGCGTAACACTATAAATAGCTGAATCACAGCATAGGCTAATCGGTGTGTCTGATAGACTGTTTGATTTAATAATAAGGTGTTGCTTCTGAACAAACGAGCCGCTCTTTCCTTCGCCAGCATGGAATCGGCCCTCGGCCTACGTTTCGGCGACGTAGTTCAAATCACCAATTGACCGAAATGACGTCCAACAGGCGTAAGCATGTGGCAAACCAGAAACAGCCTCGTCTTTCGAATTGGACCTATTCTTTATTGCTAAATAGTTCTACAATGTAACGCAATGATCTTTTTAGTATCAGTGATCGGCCTGAAGCTGTCAGGCTTGACGAAACTACTTCAAAAAAAATTCACCAGAATGTCTCTTATCGCTTTTTCACCGGTAATTTGAAGGAATTGGCGAAAAGATATCCGAGCAGGCCAAGAATCAAAAACGGACCCTATCGTCAGGATCATCGCAACGGTTAGCTAAAATACTGCGGCAGATAAAAACCGTCACGGAGAATTCTAGATTAGCTTGTCCCGTTGAAAGCCAGTGCACAGGCAGAGTCGTATAAAGACAGTCACGATTTTATCATTAAAGCTCAGAGCGTTGCAGCAGCTTGATTGCGTAATGTAATATAGTATATAGATTGTAATGTAAACGCAAAAAAGACTGTTGTTCTTAACTGTATCGTTCTGCATTAGAATATAACACACGATTTTCTGCATGGTAACGGTTCCATGTCGGTGCCTATACTTTAATTAGATTAATAAATTTTGTCATGTGTACCTAAACGTTTATTTTGACATCTTACTTTCGATTCAAGCAAGACTCGAAGAAATACTCTAGGAATCTTCTCGAGGGTGTATCAAAAATACATAATCTGAAAAAATACAGATCGGTATTCCAAATCGAACATTAAAAATCAACAACAATTTCAACCGCAAAAATCCCACGTAGTATATGGTGTCCTGCAGCACTGCATAAGACTATTAGATACATTGGCAATTTTAGGTTACTTTTACAGGTTGTTCGGACGACCTTGCCGATAGATGAAAAAACCTATAATAATTAACAACACTTTTATCCATGCATCGGATGTGTACGGATGACGGTCACTCGGGTTTATTTGAAATCAGTCCCTGTAACAGCTAATTCGCCGCAATGGGATCTGCACACAGAGGAATAGTCATGTCCTAAAAGTGGCTTGATGCCTCTGTGAATCCGTCGGGACGCCATTTTATCTATTTGAGTTTTTTTTTTAAAGTTCTCACGCAAATATTTACTAGCCGTAGTAACGTTAAAAAATATAGTTCTTTTGACGTATTTATATTATAGTTTGACCGTTTAGTAAAATGATCATCCAGTAATTTCCAGCAAATCGCGAACTTCAATTGATGATCTTTAATGAGTTTCTCTTAACATCTTTGTTAAGATGACCATTTTCGTGCACTTCAAATAGCGTAACAGACATAAAATACGGTGACGTCTTTAAGAAATTAGGAACTTATGATGCTATATGAATATAATGGTCCAAGTTCTTTTTGGTAATATTAAAACTGAAATTTTACTATATGTCACTTTCTTTCGTTGCTTCAAGGGGTAAAAACCCGTCAATGATTATCGCGGTTATGATCTAGTATTCAATTTGACTTGTCCGGAGTGACGGATCGCCGAAGCCCAGACCACGCGTGTATACACACATACGGACGACCGAGTTCCGCTCATAAAATAAACTGATTGCTATTATCTAATATATTTATTATAGGGAAAGCCTAGTGAATGAGTAGTACTTCTAGTACCACTAATAATAACAATTGTAACCGTCCGCAGCCTTTACATTCCTAGCCGGCCCAGGTGTGGTAGGGTTCTCTGGCCAGCAGCTGGACAAAACCTCTGGCGAAAAGAAAAAAACGTTTTCTTTCATGGCCGATAGCTTGTCGTACTGTTCAGGTTCAATGTTATTTGCCTTCGATCAAGAGATCCGACTTCTGATGAGTTTGTAAAGCAAGGTTGCTACACTAACGGCCGCCCAGGAGGCGCTGTAAGTAGTATCGCAAAGTAAGAACGACCTGTGAATATCATAGCAAAGGCCATCGTTCTGTGAGCTGTTGTGCATAAAACGTGATCGATTTAAGTGAAGTCTGGTAATAGAGAGAGGCCGGAGGTACTATGAAAGAGACTAGTTCATTAAGAACCGCTTTCATTTTACCAAACTAATATATGGATAAAGCTGATAACATTGGGCCTTTCAGGTGGAACATGGTATTTTAGCTTTTTCAACGCTGACAGGTGACTATGTGTAGAAATATAGCATGTTTTAGAGCCATCTAAAAATCACAGAGAAAAGTTTGAACCTTATTAAGATTTTAATATGGCTACATATGAGATTAATTTACGTAAACGCGCGAACCCGGTCATTCCAAAATTTTTTGTCGGGGCCATCATGATATTCAAGGCCGGACGCACGAAAAATGATTCAATGGTCAACATTTTCTTTTTCATTCGTATATAAAATAAGCGGCCGCTCATGGGGGGGGGGGGGGTAGTAGTAGAATCTAGAGAGATTTGTTTTAAAATAAATGTTTTGCCACTGTGACTGTTATGATGATAAAGGTCATCAGCTTTTTAGTCCTAATACTCGAAGATCGGTGCCTAACTGGGCACAAAAATTCGCTAAAATTGAAGGGAGCCTTTGCTATCAATTATCACAAAGGTTCGTAAATTCTTCGTATCCGTAAATTTGCTCGAAGCATCTCTATAAATAGTAACCATCCTGGCGTACTATTTCTGAGAAGTAGCGAGTTCAATTAAATGTTTTTGCATCTACTACTAGAACTTAAAAGTTTAGTTTTCTCATTCGATTATAAGGCACTTGATATTCAGCTATATTTCACGTTTATTCTAAAGCGAAACTAAAAATATTGCCTATAAACTAGCCATATTGTAAATATGGCTTATCTAAACTGATTCGTATCTGCATTCAGAAAAAAATCGCTGATTTTATTTTTAAAAAAAAAAAACCTAAAAATTAAATTATTTGTGTTCCTGTTGGACACAAAAAAAATGTTATTGTTTTATTAGAAGTGAAGATTAAATTTACTTCAATTTCTATTCGTCTATTTATTCTTCACCGCAAAGGCAAAATTTCTTAAGCGATAATTATTTTTTCGCGATTGTATCGGATACAGTTCAGAGCGCCACGACCCTAAGCCATGATTTAAATTGTATCGTATAGTTAGTTCATACATGGGCAACAGTAAAGCGATACGGTTTTCTTGTCTCCGATTAGAAAACTAATAGCGTCTGCAATATAATAACTAATCAGATTTAAAAATTTGCCGAAACTTTATTTATCAAATCAGACGCCGTTTGTGATCAGACGAAGGTACAATGTAGCAAGGTTTTTTCGTCGGAGTCAAAAGTATAGTTGAAGGCACGCAAGCTACCGTAACATCTGGGTTCGAACCCGGGCATAGATACACGATTCCTGTCACACAGGGAATCAGCCGTTTGATGGAACACCTAACGGCGATACCGCACGAAACACAGATGCTACTGTAATGCGTGTCGTCCGCTGTAGTAAATGCCTTCTTGATGCTTGATTGAAACGCGTCTTGATGGATACGATTCGGTAGGGTAGTCAACGATTACATGTGCAATATCTCATGTCAAAGGTGATTTCTTCGTATTGCTGCATCGAATGTAGGACCGATAAGGTGGCCAACGTTTTTCTACTCTCTCTCTCTCTCTCTCTCAACTTTCAATGGATGTTGCCAGCGCTCGTAGTCATGGTCGACACCGATCTGTTTAACAGAATTAACTGTTGGTTTTAGCCCAAACACACTGTTTATGGGTTTAATGCCTTTGCTTTGGACTGTATTGCACAAAATTAGAAAAAAGACGCTTATTGGACTGTTCCTCGCTTAGAGAAATAAACTATGATGATGACGACTATGTTTAAACTACGGAGCCAGTGTTGTCCGCTACATACAGTTATACATGTGCAGCCTGCTGTTACGCTCGAAAATAGAAACAAAGTCATCCAGTGAGCGGGCACATCATCAAAGTTCTGCCTAATTAGCACAATCAATTTTCATGCCTTCTCTTTCGAAGGATGTAAACTGGTTACATTACGGTAGAATTGGGGGAGAACTGTCAAACATGATAGCTTGCACCGTAAATGTGGGCACAAACTGTCACAGTGACTGGGCTGATGATGCAGACCCGCAGATCTCTGCTCTGTTGCCTAAGCTGCTACAAAAGCAAAGGGACTTAGGTGGGGCGCATCTAGGAGTACGAAGCAAATATCAATGGTTAAGCGGCGGAATGTCGTCAGTTGCGTACGGTTTCGATGTATTTGCTGCTGTAGGTTCTATGAGGGGCCTCGCTTGGAGAACAGATGAGATGAAAGGATAGTTACCACTTTATACATACACTGCAGTTGCTTGTTTTCGTATTTTAGACTGATACGATTAAGGCGAAAAGGTACCAAAAAGGAAAAGGAACATTTTTAGGTTAATTTCGAATGTATTTTTTATCTGAATGATTTTTTTCAAGATTTATACTAAAAGAAGTACCCAACAATCAACGGGGCATCGCGTCTAACAGAATTTGCCGATTATCATTATTCTCAGACTCAGGTATGGAGTAACGTTTTGGATGGAAGCATATTCCTTTTATTGCCATCAAAACCTTTATTCGAATTGATATCGTTCAAAACTTTGTCTATCGCAGTATTTAGTTGTTGTAATTTGGGCCTCTCATCGAGAAATGCGTATGCTATAATAATAAGCTGTGTTGTTTTCTTCACAATTAGGCCCTCTCTGCTGAGAAGCCTATATTTCCAGACGATAAAGGTAACCTACTAGGAGTTCCATTGAAGTGGCCGAGTTGGACATCATTTTCACGGAGCAGTACCAGTCAACTCTACCTAAAAATAGATCATTTTTCCTATAAAGATATCGGTGACACTAGCACTATTAGGAGAATAGGACTCACTAGCCATGGTATTACAATACCCTCATTTTTGGATGTTACATAGGACGCCTCAAACCTCTACACTTCACTGTACGACATTGGCAAAATTTACTTCATATTTCAATTGTGATGACATTATATAATATGTCTTAAATAATAATAAAATGCAATTGGGTGAGTTTATGTTCGTTGCGTATTCACTGAAATCAAAGTTGTCTTATGTGGCTACGGTGATACAAGGCAGGATGTGACAAAACATTGCTAGCTGCTGCTACTAAGTTCTATAAATCTCTCTACATTACACCCGTTTTCTTAGAACGAAGTTCCTATGATTACTAGGTAAATCAAAAGTGTTTGTGTGGGCTTTTTTTTTGTCAACTTTAGTATACAATAGTAGTATTGAAGGAAAACTTCAACTGAAAGCTTACGATTCAATTTTGTCCCTAAAAATAACACGGTACCCTAATCTCAGTTTGCGGTTAGAATATTAAGAACTTCCTTTACATGTTAAAGAGCCTATTCAAAGTAACGTTGAAGTTTAATTTATCTTGTTATTACGTGCCCTTGTATTCTTGAGCATTTTTACATTTCTTCGCCTAGTAACCTTCATTAATAGATCTATTTCACAAACTGAATGGCCATAAAGAGGAGTTTATCGCTACCTTAAATTAGTAGGTCACTACCTCAACCCTATCAAATTGTCCCGTCCCTATCAGTATGGAACAGCATTAACCGTTTAATTAAAACTAAACTCATCAACCTGAGACGAGATCGTCTGCGCGTCGACACACGTTACTTCGTGTTGGGATCGTCGTCCGAAGCAATGCCTAATTATAACGATAGCAGCAGACCTGGAGCTCGGAACATATAAATTCATCGATTGTCCCTATTTGCTATCGAAATTTCCCTCAGTGAAAATAAGCCTCATAATAAGTGCTTTCTAAGCATCCGGAGTCGTCTGCCTCTGGCAGCGTCGGTGTTGGTGCTGCCTTAGTAGCACACTTTCAATACTGCGCGTACTGGTCCGCCTTGCTCTGAACGTTATTTATCCATTTATGGAACGATGCGTCATAGCGTCGTGAACCGACGGGGACGCTGTACTTTGTTTGTAAACAGCTGTTTCTCGTCCTCATCATTTGACTCATTGCCATAGAACAAGACGGGGCTTCGGCGACGACTGCAGTTACGATGGCAGTGCCGTGGATGGACAAGCCAGAACGTCGACATGCACGAATAAGTTATCTGTCTAGCGCGTTCGCTAAGCGTTAGAGGATTCTGCCACACACAGATCCAAGATTATCAGTTTATCAGTTCGAAGTGATCGTCTATTGTGGTTGTTATGGAAGAAGAGAGATAAACCACCTCATAGCTAAAAAAAGGTTGACACTCTTCGAAGGTCATTCTAGCTACAAACGATGTTATTGTTATTACTACAGGAATGAACAAGGCGCGGCAGAAAAGGAGACAGACGTAGGAAAGAATACATATGACATTTACTTCGATGCAGTCATAAAGGCGTAACTGGGGTGCCGACACAGCGTAGGTGCGTGGATTATGTTGTCAGCATTGTAAACTTCTTTGGCGTGGTCTATATGCTTCATTTCATGTATAAAGTAAGAAAGTTTTTGTTTATAAAGGAAGCCAACGATCTCAATCGTCAACTAAATGAAGCCGTCACTGTGTATTTAGACATAAAGGCATAAGGCGCATCATGTGTATGAATATCAACTAAATACGGAAGTGTGTATTTTAGCTAAGCTTTAGAACAAATGATTCTAAAAGGAACGAACAGTCCTTCTGACGAGACACGAGTGAAGTAAACAATGGCTTCGGACTTGTATGTAGACACATACTAAGAAAAAACTGGCAGTATTTTTATTTGGATAACGTTGCAGTTAGATCTTTTCTTAAAAGAAGGCCATTACCTTGTTCAAAAACAAGATCTATCAGGACATGCATCTGGGTTTTGCCCGATATTTGATTTAAGGCTAAAAACAATTATCTTTTTTCAAGTAAAAGACCCTCGCTAGCACTACATCTAAAAGAAAATTAAATACCTGTACAGTATTTACGAAGGTAACATATAGTCATCTGAAGCTAAAGAGAGACGACTGGCTTTACACAACCAAGTTGATGGATTCATTTACTGTTGTCAAATAATCTGAAAGGAAGTGTTTATGTAGAACCACAAATAGGCTCTGAAATAGTTCAGGTCCTGCAAAGAAGAAACAGATCAAGCAGCACCGCACGGAAGACCTATCATCTACATGTGCCACATCTACATGTGGCGATCAATCGCGAAGCGTCCGATTGACTTACCGCATTGATTAGCGTCTATATTTCCACAATGTAGCAATCAATATTCGTTCTATTCTACCAGAAACAAATTAAGTTCGTTTAATTTATGAGTACCTCGTTAGTTTTCACGTCATCAGTTGAATATGTTGTATTTCTTATCGTAATAGGTAAGTGATAAGAGAGATTATGTATGGCCTATTTGTCCAAACATTAATCTTTATATAGCAGTATGTATAATATGAATTGAAATATACGTGTTTCTAAAAATGAAAAACCAAAATTAAGTAGAATTTCTATTAAAAGATTCACTTGTTAAGTAATGAAAAGATATATACTCAATATTATTTGAATTTAGTTGAGTATGTTCCTTTAAATATAACTTGCTTTTAGCCCTCTGCGTTCGTGCGAAGTATATGTGATTAAAAATAGATAAAAACCTCTAACTTCTAACCTGTAGAAGAAAATTCCAGAACATGAAAAGTTCGGCCTCGGGCTCAGTTTCGGCAATTTATTTATTAACTGAAATAAGCAACTTATTTCATATATTTATGTGTTTTTCATTTTCCTATCTTTGTTACTAACCTATTTTTTAAGTTCAGAGTTCTATGCTCTATGACTTTAATGATGGTTTACCGTACTAAGGAGTGGTAACGTTGGCACCACGCCATATCCGACGATGCCTCTTTGGTTGTCCTAGAATAAAACAACTTGTCTCCTAATGATTTTCTTTATGTGTTAGTCGATGCACGTACTTGGCCTGCTCACGAGAGCAGGTCTGTCCGATCGATTACGTTGCGAACTAGTTTTGATGTATATCGTGCAGAATACGTTTTGTATACCTTCCAACCAATGTGATGATCGATTAAAGCCAACCTCCACAACACCCCACCGAATAACTACCACTTCTTGAAGTAACGTTCTATGCTAGTAAAAGCAAGTAATGGCTTACTTCGGTCGCATGCTGTTCTCTATACTACGATTGCTAGTACTTTATTGTTCCGTCTACTCCAAGCGTGTTGTTGGGTTACAAGCTATATAGCGGTACCGCGCCGTAACTAATGGCCGTGACCAGCTCTCTAGAGTTTCGAAGGGTTGCTTATAAGCAAGGACACCGGCCTCCACTAGGCCCAAGCAAAGGACGGCCAGGGGAAAACTGAAGTACATACATGCGGCTGCTTTTACTCATTGCCTTACTAATAGCCTTCTCTCGTTTCATATCTCTCAGTGATATTTTAGGCTGTTCTAAATATGTGTGATAATAATAGGAATAGTTTTTATGTACAAATTCAGGAAACACGGCGATACGGACTAAGTCGTGTTACATACTGGTCAGTTGCTTGAGTTCGATTTAATGCGAAAGTACAGTTCTTATCGTTTCGAAAACATATTTTAGCAGAATTGAAACCTTAAGTTACCAGTTAATTGATCTTTAACACAAGAACCACTCGGACCGTTTTTTTTTTTGAAAATCTTACCATTTCGGGAAAGTCTTATCCAGGACAATGACGGAAGAACAAGGATGTTTCTAATTTTTGAAGCTGCTGACTAGCCCCTCTCTCTATTTTCGGGTTATTGGCGGCAATTGTTTTTGGCGCGTGTCATGCGACATCCCGATGGCAGTGACACTTTAGGCGTCGCAGCCAAACTGATACGTCGCAAGAAACCGGTAGGAGGTTCACAGTTTGCTCTGGATCTATCGACCTTTCTAGGTGTAGGTCGTGATCTAGGCTGGAACAAAGTGCAATACGTTTTGTGTGCGATAGACTAAATGTCGGACTACGACAGTAAACTGTTTTGCTATCACTAGTATACATATATATATTTAAGGGTCTGGATTCAAGTATCTATTCTGTGCGCTTTTAAGATTATCGTTTGCCCATGAATACAGATGCACAATTAAGTGAAAAGATACAAAACGTACGGGTCTATGCGAGCTTGCACTGATTCTTCTCATACATTAATTTAAACGTTGGCTATATAGCGTCGATCAATTTAACATGACGCCAAATCAAGTTTATCTTATAGAGATAGTACCTGAATAATGATGAATGATCAATTCGCACGAACTAGGCAAGTACGAGATTGAATCCTAAAATTGGGCAGATTATCGCGTAAGGTGATCGCATTGGTCCATTTGGTTTTTGGATACGGCTTCTTTTTCTCCTCGGTCCTTCCTGATTGCTTATATAGGGCTCCCAATCGTGGTACGACCTTAAGGCAATCCTAAAGAGGCTGCACCAAGGACTTCCATAACAAGAACAGCTGAGAGTCGTCAGCTATGGAGAGAGACCTCTTTGTGTTTACGAGACGGACGTTGTTTCCCTAAATGAATAGAGTGCGACTGTCATCACGTCTACAGATCCTTTAGGTTCAATTCTATATTACCACCATTTCCGATCGGTTAACTGGCGGTAGATATGCATTAAGAATTCAAAAGATGTAACCGACGTTAACGCTAGCTCGAAAGATTACCCAAACACTTGTAACACACATTGTCAATACGTCTGTAATTGTGCGTCCTGCTGTGATAATTCTACTGAATACCGGAGTCTTGCACACTGCGACCTACTCTCGGTTTCAAAAGTTCGCTTAACTTTTTAGGACATATACAATAATATTGTCGGTAGCGTTTATGATTATGTGAAATTAACCCGCTCTAAAAACATTATGATGACATTAAAAAAAGCCATATCTTTATTGTATTAGTCTGATCTTCCGTTGGTCTTCCGTGTATGATTTGGTTTCACTTCTTTACAACTGCCCTTGACGTTGCAGGATTGCTGGGTAATTTCCAGTAATCTTTATTGATGCTTGGGTTTGTTATCGATTTTCGTGAGCCCTTTACCGTCTCGCTTGCCAGGCAACTATAGTTTCAGAACGTAAAAAAATAAAAGCCCACACTTAAGCGGAATTAACATTTTCTAACTCACTCGATTTTTTTGTATCTTTTATTCATATCGTTTTTAAAGATCACTATATAATTTGCTTAGACGGTATTGAACGATAAATAGTAGCAGATCTGTCAAATGCTCCATGCTTAATTCTGACGAGCTGATCCGCTCTGGCCGAATCAGAGCAACCGCTGTCATAAACTATTAAAAAACCATAGGTCACGAACAATACAAGCATGATAACATTAGTTTCTCCGTTACTTTAATATGGTGCTGTGACAGTAGACCTAACATAGAAGTTTGAAGTAAGCTAATTATGGTAGCTTTGGGGATAATCTCGTAGTTAAACTCGACGCGCATATCTCCAAGCGTGGACAAAAACGAAATCATGACTGGTATGTACCAACGCCTCTAAATGCAGATTGTTTGCGGCAGGTTTGACCTGTATTGCTGATATCCGTTCATGTGCAGAGTGGGGCACTTAAGGACACCCCAGACCTTTCTTGTAGGAGAGAACCGCTTTAGAAAGCAACGTTTGTCGATCTGGCCTCTGATTTAGCCTAAACTACCTGAACAGCCGGGCCGTTAGTCATCGCTTTTCGGTCTTGATTGAACCATTGTTTCCCCTGTCAGGCTATATAAAAGCACTTTTTGGTCTCACAGGTGCATTTCCAACAGAGGAATAAGGAGTGCAACGTACGAAGATACGCACGCCTATGGCAATATGCTTAGACACTACACAGTATCGAAATAGGTCAGCTGCGCTAATTTGTTATATACTTGGCCATTTTGAAGCGAACGCCGGTACATAGACAACAAATAAAAACATCATACCGCTTCCACTGATCGTTTAGTCTTAATTTTTATTTAGAAATTTTTGAAATTCGGCATTTCATTGAAAAAGCTGGTCAAGTGACGTAACGAATTGCAATAATGTTGACTAGTTTTACCTTAGTACTGACAATCGCACGGTGTGCCCTAATCGTGTGAACATCTTTATTCAACTTAGGAAATACATCCAACTAAGCGGACTTGAAAAGTGTAAACGATAGCTATGTTTTGAGTTATTGATTTACGGATTAATGCCATCCAATTTTAACTTAATCTCTCAGAATCTCAAGTACGTATACGAGAAAAACATGAAATTAGACACATTTTAAGTGTATGGATGAATTGCTTCTAGAAAATGCAGACGTTGTTAACATGGAGGAAAGCGGATGGAAAGAGGTCGTAGTTAAAAAAAATCCCGGAGGTGAACAAGTAAGGTTGAAGTTTTGTTTTCAGAAGGTAAGTAGCAATAATATTCGCTTAAGTTACCAGGCGAATGTTCGTTCTTATGCTAACCGGTGCCTATAAATATAAGGCGTTATTGGGACAGATTAAAAGTAGGCCAACGATCTATGGATGTCTGTGCTGCGTGTAGTGTTAAAAACTGCTAGGAGAGAAGCGCTGTTCTCAAGGTTTGATATCCACCTGCGTAGCGTAGAGGGAAAATATCATTGAGGGATTTTTTTTGAGCAGTTTACTAGAGAAACGCCGTTGTTTTTAACGATGCTATTGCCGAACCCACAAATCTGATCACCGGCTCAGTTGACTACCTTCAGAAATTGCTGATGTACCTACTAGCATAAAGACGGGATCAGTTATGCAAAGGCCAAGTTTCGAACACATTCTTCGAACTTTATTAAAATCAAGTTTTCTTAGACGTCCGGGATCCTTGGGGCGGCTATTCACTGGAGCCAAGTCGTATAGGTTTCACTAAGAAAAACTAGTTGAAGATTAGAACTATCCTTGGTATTATTTTTTCTTTTTATTGTAAAATATTTTGTTGGGGCAGAAAAAGACAAAGCGATAGTTAAAAAGTGATCACTGGTTAACTGTTTGCATATCTCAAAGTTGATAAGCTATTACAATATGTCTGTTGCTACCAACTGTCGCTAAAGTCACATCTTCCCCTTGTCTAAAGCTTTTTTTTTTTCTATATCAGTTATTTCAATAAGGATTTGTGCTCATTTTGGCGCATAACCAGCAGATAGCCTTTCCTATTAACAGTTTTCCTATTAATCACAATAGATTTCTCCGAGCTCAACGTTTTGCTCCAACCTACATAATCCAATCTAAAAGAGCATATTCGGAGCGGTGGGGGTGGTTGTTTGGTCAGTTTGATACGTTGAACCAGGTAGGCTTAACTTAAGATAGTCATACCCCAATGCTATGTTTACGACTCGTGTACTAATCTAAACGGGTGGTACATTGTTCTGTGGCTATATATTATGCTACTAAAGTTATAAAATAATTTCGATTCTCCGCTAACGTTCTCTGCCAGATTTTAGGACGTGGGACGTTTGGTTCCGTAAGTCGTATACAGACATCAGACGGGGAAATTTTAGCCTTGAAGTCACAGGATATCGACCAAAATTTCATTTCGCGAGAACTCGAAGTTTTAAAGGTATGTTTTATTAGCAGATCTGTTGCGCGAGCAACTATTAATATTAACTGAACATATTAAATTTTCTTTTAATAAAATGCATTTTACGGCAAACATATTAACAGTTGTTTTTCTGAAAGTTAATTCGACCAGCGTCGTTCAGCGGTCCCCATTGACAGGCGAACGAAACTCACATTGGCCCACTTCACATATCGCTCAGTAGACATTTTTAAATGATGTAGAGTAGTTATATGATTATTCCTTGACAGATGATGGACCATCCGAATATCGTGCACCTCAAATACTACTATCTTGAAACTGGTGACGACGTTTTAAAGTTGCACCTCATAATGAACTACATCCAAGAAACATTGCATCGCATTCTCGTGCAATTTCGAAAACGTGCCAAACTGATCCCGCCGGTTTTTATCAAGGTACGTCGTATCGACCCTATACACCGTCTCCAGTATTATTCTGTTCAATTGGCGAAAATCAGCACATCGTGCGTGCACGTATTTCTAGCGTGCTTCTGAGCTGATTTCAATTCGACCCTTTCCTCGTTTACCATTCACTTATTACATGCAATTGCTGTTGTTTTGAGGCGGCTGCAGGTCATCATGCACCAGTTTCTTCGAGCCATTAAATATCTGCACGTCCGAAACATTGCTCACCGGGATCTGAAGCCGTCGAACGTGCTCGTCAATGTTGAAACGGGCCGAGTAAAATTGTGCGATTTCGGTTCTGCCAAAAAGCTCAACTCCAACGAGACGCATATCGCCTACATATGTACGAGGCACTATAGGTATCGAGGAAGAAGGAGTATAACCAACGCTTTTTGACGACAGACTTCTATTAATGATACCGATAGCAGACTTTTTTTTCAGTTAACAACATATGTAGTGCTGGTAACTCATTCGTATCCACAAGTTCAGCGATGCAAATATCAAGTTATTGCTTTTGCCTTACATGACATCTGGCGGCAAAAGCAATGTTAGTCGTTCCACTTGACTAGAAACGTTGCATTTACTGTACATAGCTGAGGTTCTATGCTAAACAAATGGTTTTCGATATATTCTAGAGCGCCCGAGCTAGTCATGGGCTGCACGTCATACACAACAAAGGTGGACATTTGGTCAGCGGGGCTCATTGTCGCAGAGATGTTTTTGTTACATCCGGTATTCTGTGGAGAGTCGAACCTTGATCAACTTACTGAAATGATCCGAATGCTCGGCACGCCAACCAGGAAAGAGATTAGGTCTGTCGATTTTCAGAAGCTTAAAAACCATATCGGTTTTATAATCTAATCTGATCAGTGGTCATAGCGGGCTGATTGTGCCATTTCAGGGCTCTTCATCCGGCCTTTCCTTCTGGGCTGCCGAAGAAGGAGCCGCTCAGCTGGACAGAGATTCTCGAGCACAAAGTCGAGCCGCAAGCGCTCATCTTGATTTCAATGGTACATTACAAACCATCTTTAATTTTAGGCCGGCCTGTGTTACATTCTTATATTGAAGTTACTAGAGGTGAAACTTCTTAGCACTGCCCGGTGCATCCTTTTATAGCTTGTAACTTAATTTTTGATTATGTCCGTATGCACTGTCGAACTTTGATTTGACTGTTCACTATAGACTATAGAAGAGGTTGAATGGCCGAACATCGATATAATGCGTGCTTCTTATCTGTGTGTTAAACGAAAGAAACGAAGAAGATTTCAAACTAATTCTTATGATACCCATTTTGCAGTTCCTGATCTTTCAGTCTTCTGCTCTGGTTTTTGATTGAGTACTAGCCAGATGCCACTGTGAGATTAACATATCCTGTAATTTGTGTCTTGCCATTTTAGTACGGTTGGACTACTTACTTACTATGATTCCCATGTCACCTGCGTTGCTTGTTCTTTTTCAGATGGTCCGATACAATCCAACAGAAAGGCTCGATGCTTGGGAAGCTCTGTCCTACAGCTTTTTCAATGAGGTTGGCAGTCTTTATCTTGTACGGGGTATTTCCACGTATAGGAATCGTTGGTTATTGCTATGTTGCGTTAGTGTCTATCAAGTCACCTGCAGGGACCGTGTTTGTCCTGTCACTTAATAATAACTTCATCAATATGTTATATAAGTTAAGTAACAAATGGTATAATTTCAGATCCGCACGAACCGATGCCGCCTACCCTCTGGCAGTTTTGCCACCCCGCTAAATGACTTCACCCCGGAGGAGCTAACGTATATTCCGAGGATAAAGGAACTATTCGATAGATCCGAACCTATCAATATCGCTTTCCAGCACACGAACCCTGTCGCGCAAGCAAATTAGACACGTTGTGCACGTTCGAAGCCATTGGTCCACCAAAGATTTGCCGATCGCCGCTGTGTTCGGCTCACTTATGTTGCTTGTTAGCCGCAGTGGCCCATATTGTAAATTGAAATAGCAGAAATGATATCGCCGATATAAACAAATGAACCATGGTTTTTTACCTGCTACACAAATCAGACGGAAAGGTTTGCGTTCGCTTACATGAAAATATACGTGACTGAAGTGTAGTTTTATTCATTAACGTTTCCAGCATATTGTGATGATGAATGCTAATTAAAGTAGAAATAAAATACTTGCATTTGAACAAAGAACACCAGCTGTTTAGAAGCGACTGGGCGGAGAATTCGTCTCAAATGCCGGACAAAAGTTTAACGCGTCTAAAGACTTTGGGTAGACTGTCATATCGTCCGGCGCACGTTCGTTATTATCGATATTTAGTATATCTAACGCTTCCCCTTTTACGGTTTAGCACTGTCTTGCGGAGCTCTCAAACCGGGTACAGAAAGCCCTATTGATCTATTATTATCTCTGCCTTTCATCTGTCGCCGAGGGAACGACGGGAAGGGGGCATTTTATTATGTATGCACGCAGCATCGACTCATACAAATCTGTTTGGTTGGTCCAGTAATCGTATTATGTCGCAGCCCGGAATTGTTTCAAAAATGCCCATCGATCATATTTTCTCTATATAGTTTGCTCAGGTTGATAAACATAATATCGTTATCGTAGTTTGATACTGAGATGTTGACAAATCCGCATGATGTATGTCGTCACCCGATGTGACCTGCCAGACGGCCCATCTAGACACTTGGTCGCCGTTATATAGCAGGTTCGTAACTAGATGCAACAAACGCTGGCTTCCTTTGAATCTATATAAGTATATATATATATATATAAAGTATAAGGTATAAAGAGCGAGTGTTAAACTTCTACATCGCGCATCCTTGACCAACCTATCGGTGGGATTGCCGGCGCTTCCCATACTATAGTTTAGCAGACGTGAAAATGATAACCGTAGACATTTCAAGCAAGCAGATAGCTAGCACAGGTTGAATTAAAATGCATATCGTATTTGCTTAGTTCAGTTGGTCGCAGGCCACCCGACCCAGTAGCAGCAGCTTGTGAGAATTCAAACCATATCCGCAAGCTGATAGTGTGGGCCTAAAGAGCATCGGACCATCACCGCCAGCACTGCCACTGTACTGCCTCGACAGGACATGTGAAGTATCTGATCCAACTCCATTGGGTCGAAATCGGCTTTCGGTGTATAAACTGCATTAGCAGCTAAAGGCGCGCCTTGTTACAGATCCGATTGTACGATATTGAGAATCTTGCAGCAATCAACTGCGTCCGAAATACTTCTTTCCACTGCCGTTGTTCTCGTGCTGGCTTTCCTACGGCCGTTACGAAATGTACACCTGTAGTCTGTCTACTATAGACTACACGCTTTAAGTGTCCAGAGAAAAGACAACAGAACTGTTTTCTCTAGTCCGTATCCAATCCATCTAACCCCGTCCATGAGCGAAGATCTAAAGCGACTCCAAGGATACCGACTTCAGCTACTATTGCTAATAGTCTAATATGTGCTTCTGCCGGTGGCGCTCGGCGTGCTATATCCACATACTTCGCTGAAACGTCGACTGAAGGCCAACTCGAACCTTTCGAGAAGGACCATTCTAGAACAATGCTTATTACCGTTCTCTGTTCGACGAAGGCACCGTGTGACCTACTCCACGCGGCCAGCTTTGGAGAAACTAATATTACCATTCACTGCATGCAGTAGTGATAATGGTACAATTTCGCCGATAGCTGATGCAATGCAGGCACTCGCACAATAGACGCGCTTGCCTTGCCTAATAGCTAGCCTAAGCCGTATATATCTTAACGTGGATGTTGTATAAAACACGAGTTGTCAGTCGACGGATTACTGGCCACCAGCGGCACGATGGATCTATAAGCATCGACCATAGGCACATCGTGGCCATGGTAACGCCACGCGGATAACACGACGATCCCAACAGTGCATTTACCAGCCGCGCTTCACGGAGCACGAGTCTTGTAGAGAGGGAGTGGATCGCAATAACTAGCTACCTACAGCTTACATCGGTGCCTGCAGGAAAACCTATGCGGTGACGCTGCCAACTAGGCTAAAATTCGACAGAGTGATCGGAAGCGATTGTCGTAGCTGGCATACCGTCGCTCCGCCGCATCGAACCGTGCTCGCGGCGGGCTCTCGTCTACGGCGAGGACACAGCACTCACAGAGCAGACAAACCCACTGAACTACGCTCACTGGACAGCTGATCAACGACACGGAGCGACGCCGACAAACGGAGTGAGCCAACTCGACTGCTGCAACAAAATTCGATACCAATTCGATGCTGATGCAACTGCTCCTTCAAAGTCGGTGATTTGGCTTTTGACATTAACTGTATCTGCTAAATCGGCTGACCGTAGCAGCATTGGATTTTGCCGGAATTGGAGAGTGCATGCGTTAATTGTAGTAGTAGTAGTAGTACAAAACCTAGCGTTTTATGAGTGGTGCAATTCTGCAAAGTAGCAGAACTGCTGTGCAAAGAAAACAATCGCTCTCCTTGTTTTTGTGTTCCGCTTCGTTTCGATACCGCGTATACGTTGTTGCCGGTGTTTCCATTGTCTCGTGGCGTATTAGCCCTTCTTCTTAATGAAGTAAGCAAGTAAATAGGTGTGACTGATAAATGGTAGTGTCGTGACCCGATACATCATCACTGCCTCGATCACTTGTCGGAGTCGGTTCTTCTGAGTCAGCACCGCAATGGACCTTGAAAAGCCTGAACAGCCACAGCTTCCTATGTGGTCACGAGCGTTTAGCTCGACAACGGAATGGAGCTTGCATGTGGATAAAGGTGCTAGTCAGGTCGGACAGGATCCAGGCCGACCAAAAACTGGCTCTGGGGATAAGTTTCAGAGACAACGTGAGCTGCTCGAACAAAAACAAAAGCAAAAACGCTTGCAGAGTGCGACCCTCATCAAGGCCACCGATGGTAGGCGACGACCAATGTCAAGTATGCTGGAACGACACGCATACGACGGACCCCTCAGGGAAGCTTCTGGTAAAGATGTCGACGAACTCGATTCGGACGGTCAGTGTAAAACAGATGTCAAAACACCAAAAAAACAAAAACAGCCACTAATTTTGGCGAGCAAACCTAAAGAGTTAGAAGTTGATCGAAACAGGAATTCGCCAGAAGAAGAAGTTCTCGAGAACCGGCCAGTAACTCATAATCCCTGGAGGAGATCATCGTCGGTGCTATCTCTGGATACACCTTCGGAATGTCGAATGGCGCAGGTCCACGACGCGGCAGGTACAAACATGCTGATGCCGGGTGACTCACAGGCATTTGAACGAGAAGATATTGGTACACTTGAAGAAATACTGCTTAAAAGCACGTTCGACTTCGTTCATGCCCCTTGCCCCAAGGGAGTGACTGTGAAATGTCGCATTACTCGTGACAAAAAAGGTGTTGATCGAGGACTTTACCCTACTTACTATTTGCATCTGGAACGAGCTGACAAGAAGCTCTTCCTGTTAGCTGGCCGCAAACGAAAGAAAAGTGCTACATCAAATTATCTCATATCAGTGGATCCGACAGATCTATCGCGAAATGGCGAGTCGTTTATAGGCAAACTCCGCTCAAACCTTTTCGGCACATCTTTCACTGTATTCGACGGAGGAGATAATCCGAAAAGAAGCTCGCATAAGGACCACACCCGAAGTGAAATCGCAGCCGTCGTCTACGACACGAACGTGTTGGGTTTTAAGGGACCTCGGAAAATGACCGTGCTAATACCGATCGTCGACGAAGCGACGGAACGTAATAGCGTTCGGCCGACGTCGGACAGTGAAAGTCTGATTGAACGCTTCAAGACTGGACGCCTAGAAAATGTGCTCCGTTTAAGCAACAAGCAACCGGTATGGAACGAGGATACGCAAAGTTACGTGCTCAACTTTCATGGACGGGTCACCCAAGCGTCGGTGAAGAATTTCCAGCTGGTGCACGACAAGGACGTGGAAACGATTATAATGCAGTTCGGACGGGTGACGGAAGACCACTTCTCAATGGACTACAGCTATCCACTGTGCGCTCTGCAGGCGTTTGCCATAGCACTAAGTTCGTTTGACTCGAAACTTGCGTGCGAGTAGTGAGTGCCAACATGACTTGGAAGGGCAGGCAAGCTTCATGTTGACTGATTAGGTAGTCACAAAAACAAAAATGTTTTCAACGATATTATTATACAAAGACACAGATAAGAAGATATAGATTGACACATGACAAAGTGAGGCCTTGTCTATGATTATTTCGGTCCTGAAAATAAAAAAAATTCTGTTTTTACAGAAACGCGAGTTTACTTACAAAACTCAACATAACGTACAGAGAGCAACTGAAGCAAGAGAAGGATTTTGATAAGAATAGAAACACTTAAATTGCTTTTTTCATTTCATTTAGAGGACCTGTATGAGGGTCGAATACGGCAAACGGAAAAATGCAGCAGCCATTGCATCATAGTGTAAGGATACATTATCCTTGTGGGGGGGGGGGAGGGAGGGGGGGTCCTAATTGATTTCCTGGATTCTGATATTAGTAAGCACTAAGCGACAGCGTTAGGAAGACGTAACGTTGAACAGTCGAAGAAATATTGGCCATTTTTAAGGCAAAAGTGTTTTAATTTCCTCTTTACATTCTAAGATAACATAGCTTAACGAAATATGCATTATTTGAGCAACGACCTTCTGCCGTTTTCCTGGTAACACTCTATCTTTGTATATCTTTGTAGAACCCCTGTGAATTCTGGGCGAAAAAACAGTAATAAACGATTTTTGCATACTTTCGTTGAAACCAGATGAGCACCCCTGCAGGGACCGAAACAGGTGATAGTCTGATAACGCTAGCTGGACGCATTTAAAATTTCCATCGAATTCCTATTAATTTTTGGCGGTTAAAAAAATGGCTAAAGATGTATCGGGTCTGGAATTGTCGTGGTTAAAGGTGACGCACTGTTCATTCGTTGATTCACATGAATTATTTTCAATAGTTTGTTGTGATCTTGTTACCTATCGACGGTAAAGGTCTGAGTCTATGGGTTTGCCAGACGGCAGCCACTGATAATACGCTTTCAAACCCACATACACAGCATTATTGCCTTTTTTGACGTCCGTCTGAACCTTACCAAAGAAATACTTAATAATATTTATCATAATCTGTCATTAGCCTTCAGAAATGCGTGACTTCACTACGCTGCATTAAAGATGGAAATATGATTGGGTAAGTAATCCTGTATCAATTCGTCTGCTGCTAGTTAGACATCTGACGTTTTTTTTCGGACGAAGATGGTGACAAAAATCTTCGAACTTTCGTTAATCATATCCATAAGTCGACCTGGCTCCACTTTCGCAATATTTGGTCAAGTTTTTTTTCTCTAATTAATCAGTTACTACGAAAAGCGTTATCCGCCGAGAAATCTCCATAACCGAAGCCGCAGAATTCTCTTTGTTGTGAGAGGAAACAAATTTTTATAGATCACTTATTTTCAAGGCGCTTTAGCTTACGTCTGAGTAACGGTACTCCAACAAGTCTAGCATAGGCCATATTCCAGCTTTTAAACAACACCAGCGCCGTGGAGCCTTCAAAGCGATCCTACTAGAAAAACGAATCGTACTTTTTCTAGCAGGATCGCTTCGTACATCTGAGAAGCGAACCTACGATACGCAAGATTTCTTCCTAGGTTACCCAAAAAAAGTTAGCCTAAATAAATTCACAAGCGTGATAGAGATATCGATAACATTTTTCTTTGTGAAAGCACCGCCGTGAATCTAAGCGACCTAGTAGACTTACTTAAATATATTGAAGCTGTTCGTAGCTGATTCATTGAACAATCGCATGGCTTCTTTGGAACGAACTGCGAGAGGCTCCGAATGAGACCATGGGTCATATAATGCGCCTGCTGTACCTTCGTCAATCGCGGTCTTAAATCAAAAGCTTACTCAGTGCACACAAATATATCTTGACCGTAATTGCTCGTACGTATCTACCGCAAGTTCGACTCTCTTGAAGGTTATATATAATGTAATTGCCCAGCCTTTGCTGTATACGTCAGCATTCGAAAGCACAAGTCTCTCATGGATGTATGTTCAAGTTCCACGGACTCAATCTATAATTATCGACCACTGCCATAGGCTACCGAACTGCCTTTTTATCCGGCAGCCTTTAAGAATAGTTCTGACTTTGTTTGTGTGACCGCTTTGGTCTATCGTAAACGTGCTGCCATATTTCGTTAGACCTTTAGTACGACTGTATGACAACAACAACAACAACTTCATTTTATTGCTCATATAGGATGCATGAGCCGTATAGAGGTATGGTGGACTGCGACAGTTCCTGCACCTGTCCTGTAAACGCAATACTTTTTAGTAAGCGTAGCGGATAGTTGGCCAGGGCGGCAGTAAACGCACCAGGAAGCCTCGTCAAACACTGCCCCGAACGGATGATGTAGAATGATAAGCTCTATTGTAGGCCTTCAGGATAAGGTAATATGGAAGACGTATTTCCAATGAATTTCGTTACTACGTAATGCATTTTGTTGTTAACAAAAGGTACTTATTTCTATTCGATTTTCGAAAAGATACACACGACGTTATAATTTTTCACGCTCGTCATATTGTCTCAGTGACACATATAATTGCCCATCTCAAACGATTCCCGAAGGCAGACGCTACCAGTTATTTCATCGAATTCTGACTGTAACCGATCTGCGTTTGGTGGTGCTGTATTGTTGAGTAACGCAAGTTAATATTGTAATACTGTTTAGTTTCAAGGTTCGAAGATCAATACCAAGTTTATCTTAAGTTAGCTATAGAATGAAATTACTATTCAGCTGACCTGGACCGTGTACGACTTACGCAAATGGGTAGCCTCAATAGACGCACAGTAAACCCTAGAAGACGTAATTCGGCAAGGACATTCATTGGAATTGCCGTTGAGATGTACTCGAAACGCCGTTCGGAATTAGGTACGATTGGCCTGATTTGAAACACGAACCTTACGACGACTAACAAACAATATATATACCGAGTATATATATTAAACCGATAGTATACCGAGTTAAGTTGAAACTTTTTCATATGTTCCGAATTTCAGCTATCAGATATCTCCGTCTGATTTCTAACTGATTACTTATCCCTTTCCGTTTAAGATAACACGTCATGTAGATAAATTAACTGTCCCATACCCCCCTCGGCTTGGGCTATTTTAACTCTGGATACCGTGGTTTTACCCGGCTACTGCCGTAACGTCGTGCTACTGCATTATTCAGCTAGATTAAGTTAAGTAATTCTTCGAATTACTACTGTTTGTATAATCATTTTTACCGCAAAAAAAAAAACAAATTATTTCTTTTCCCGTTGCAGAACATATTCTTAGAAACAGCTTTCAGAAATCATATGGACTGGTTGGTACCAACCTCATTAAACTGCGTATCGCTAATTTAATGATATTTTCGAAGATCAGACGTACACTCACGATTTGCTGCCGTTGACAAACTTCAAACAAGTGTTGGTGCTCAGACATAAATGGAGTAAGCACTTTACTAATGCAACAGCTTGTGGACCTCAATATCATCTGCTGCGTCTGTGCGTATCATATGAACCGCTCTGTCTCTCGACGTTAGAAACGGTATCGCTATAATATACATCCGGGTTCTTGATTGGCGAAACGGGGTCAGTCTACAAAATTAATGCCAGTTCATGACTTATATAAGGCACCCTCCGTTCGATAAATTGAGCGACACACATCGCTAAATGGGCATCGCACTACAAAACAGGAAATAACTCTTTCCTGTCAATGCTGTATATATCGGGGGCGTTTGAGCGAAACCCTAACTGGGGTAAAGTGAGCGAACAAGAAGCACGTCTCAGAGAAAATGTATCGCCCCGATAAGAAAATTCAACATATATCGACAAGTGAGTTTCTCTCAACATTGTTTACAGTACAAAATGAATTATGTTAAATACACAAATTTTTCGAAAGAGGCTTATTTTCAGGGGCATTCATAATCATAGCATGTGCTCACGTAAAGTAGGTTGCTGGCTGTAGCCAATCCGTCGGTTGCAGGAAACATGCTGAAGACTCCGAAAACACAATCAAATATATTATATACAGCCTTATTACATTATTATTATTATTATTATTATTATAAAAGCAAGGAGATAATTTCGAAGTCGAGTTGCGACCTAGGTAGATTTGTACACTTTTTTTCGACACGAAGAAGTTTAGGAACGTATACATATACGTTCGTTAATCTAACTAGGTAAATTCGAGCTAGAAAAATTTATACGATACACGCGATGAATAGGCTTGATCGAATTTTATCGTACTGTATCCTCCATGGGGTGTATGTAATGCAGCCTCCTTCCGGTGCTAACGTCGTCTACGAGGTACGTAGAACATGACAACAAGATGAGGCCACCAAGAGGTTCCGTAGGCAAAATTGAAGGAAGTATAGCATAGGCAGCTAGAATCGTGAAGTATTAGACTCTGAGAGAAACTAACAAAGATTCAACTCTCGAAAAGTCAGCCTCCAATATTACATGCGTACATTATGTGTTTGACTGCGCCTAGATTGATCGAAAAAAACTTATACAAAATATTGTGGTAAAAGTTTTTCTCAAGATCTTAACTTGATAAAGGCCTATTTTCTATAAGCATGTGCAAACCCGATCAGTCTTTTTAATCTAAGCTTCTTTAAAAAAGCTTTGAATCTGCTTAAGGATACCAGCCACTGCTTTACTCGAGCTTGCTTTGATACCTGTGAAATCGAGTTTGATTTGATCGCGAATTTCATCTAAATATTAGAAAAAAAAAATGCAGATCACTGCCATTTTAGACCCGAATTTTTTTTTCTAATTTTAGGCTACAGTTCATGTGCTACAGGAATGTTATAGATCGCGTAGTTACCGAAATCGCAAAATTGGTAGCCTGGTCAATTAGACGGCTGGAAGTTCATCGATTTTCAGTGAAAGCCGAAGTGGTCAGCGCCAATGAAGTGTACGCGTTAAAAGGCTACCATTACGCCTAAGACTTACAACGTTTCATTATGTACTAATCATAATTTATAAACAAGGAATATAGAAACACAACTACGGAAGGGGCACTTGTGCATACTTTCAAGCATCTTCCACTCCTGAGCCTGAATTCAAGTCGGTATTAATAGGAAGCGCTAAATTAGTTGGTAGTAACTAAGGTGTATCTTCCACTGGGCACTTGGTACCAAATATTACACGAATCAT